GGGAGTTTCAAACTTGTGCGATGGAACCTATCGTGTGCGATTCGGACTTTTCCTTTTTTTATATTGTAGTTATTCACAAAGCTATGAATGGAACTAGATATTCTAGACATTTAGAATATTGACGTATTGTGGATACTAAAATGGTACTTGCAAAAATCGCAATTAACGTTTTAAATTAGGAAGCAATACCTAATTATGTCTTAAATAATCATGAAATTAAACAAGCACTCTTGAGTTTTGAAGGGTCTCGCGTTATGAAACATTTCTAGCAATTAATCAAAATATCCCGATCAATTTCCTCCGTGTTTCATTACAATACTAGGAATTCATGATGGCATCTACCCCCCTAATCCCTGGAAAAAAATCTTCAATTATGCCCGAATTGGTACGAAAGATCATAATAAAAATTAATCCCATTCCGAATGTAAAGAAACATTTCAGATGGAAATAACATACGAAACCATGTGGAGACAATATGAAGACTGGGGCACGGTGGAAGTGGAATTTAAATATGTAAGGAATTAGGAGGGGGTGGGGCAGGGAGGCAAGAGGGAGAGGTTTTTGAAAACTAGAAAGAGATGAACATGGGTTAGTATCGCGATCTGCGAGCGGGCACGCGGGGCAGATTAGGATGACTTGTCGCGAGATATGTCACGGAAAAGTAGAAAATTACGAGGACTACTGCTGAATCTTGCATTGTACCTAGTTTTTATTTATTTATTATTATTTATTACTTCTTAGGAATCGGATAAAGGACAATGTTGAGCTAATTACAAAAAGCTTAATGTGTCTCTATATATTTTTTTAAAGGCGATAAAATTAAAATGAGTACCCAACTGTAACTAAACGTAGATTAAACCAGTTACTCTTGTCCCGTAAAATCCATTCCAAAGCCTACAAGTCTACCATGTCATACTAGGTGGAAAAACTATCTGCAAACCTTATTATAATTTTGTAAAACGCTTGAAACTGCAATATTAAAATATTTTTTGTATTTGGTTTGCACTTAGAATATCTGCACAAGATTTATTCACATTCGATGATGTGTTACGTTTTAACACAGTACACTACCTTTATTCCCGGTATTTTTTGTCCCAAACTTGCTTCAATTCTAAACATGGAGTGCAGGTGCGGTTTGGTTCCCCAGTCGATGAAGCACAATGTCGTGCCCTGAGTGCCCAAACAACTGCACTCAGGAGGATTTGATGAGTGCTGCTGACAACGCCACTCTTGTGGCGGAGTTTTGGGCTGACACTGTGTAGGTTTGTTGTCGACACGAAAAGAAGAGGATGAAATCTAACCAAATTAAAGTCAAAGTCAAAATTTATTTATTTGCATAGACTATTATATAGTGCTTACAAATCGTCAAATATTTTGCTCTTAAGGAGCCTCTACATGTCTCATAATCTTTTTAACCTACCAGCGCTTCGAGACCAACATTTGGCAAGTGCCGAAAAGAAGCGCCGCAACAAGCTCAGTCACCATTGTCTGCCGGTTAATATAAATAAATTAAAAAAGCAGTAGTAGGTACATTTGGTTCAGGAGCAGTTCACTGAATTAAGCAACCCATCTCAAGACTTATCCTGTGACCCGTAGCCCTCGTGTGGCACACGCGAGCCGTAATGAGGCGCGGGCGCGGGGGGTAGTTAGACAATTTTACAACTGCGCCGCGCCGTTTTTTGGGAGACGCGTAGCTAGGTGTGTGACATAGATTAGATTGGACATGTTTTTACCTTTAATGTACTGGAAATGGTAAAATTATATTGTAGTATTCAGCGACAAAAGAGGGTACTGAGAACCAGTTGGCTACGAAAGTAAATATTTGGTTTATCAATGTACTATTCAAAGTAACTAGTTGCTCTATCATAACTAGTTCTAGTGACTTGTCATACTTAGGCTCAGTTGCACCACCTCATTTTAAGGTATAAAAATTAATCGGTGCTTTTTGTATGGAGTTTGACAGATTTTTGACGTTTGTTAAAGTTGAAGTAAGATGGCGCAACTCAGCCTTATACTTTTTATTCTGATGATTTCTAGTAATGACTTGCAATTTGCTATACTACAATAATACTCTTATTATACTGTGTTCATTCGTTCGTTCGTTTCAGCCAAATGACGTCCACTGCTGAACAAAGGCCTCCCCCAAGGATTTCCACAAATATCGGTCCTGCGGCGCTCGCATCCAGGCACCTCCTGCGACCTTCACCAGGTCGTCGGTCCACCTAGTGGGGTGCCTGCCCACACTACGTCTTCTGACCTGTGGTGGCCACTCGAGAACTTTTCTGCCCCATTATACTGTATTCGTTCGTTTGTTTCAGCCAAAAGACGTCCACTGCTGGACAAAGGCCTCCCCCAAGGATTTCCACAAAGATCGGTCCTGCGCTTTTATTATAATATTCTCTTTTAAGTTTTCCGTCCATAAGTGTTTAAACAAGTACTTACAATAAGAACATATTATTATTTATCTTTTGTTCTACTAATTTGTTACTAAAACTAATCATTGCAGATAAATAGATAAGTATTTTTACTCTATTCATGAAGGTACAAAATGAACTCCCAAACTACCTCGTACATTCTGTCTCCTAATCTTTGCCACCATCTGTAGGTGCGCACAAATTTGCATATGTCGAAATAATTTAGGGGGTAACTCCACACATCCATAGTCGCTAATGTGGCCCGGTATTGGCTTAGAACGAAAAGAGGCAGATGTGCCTTTCCGATTATATTTGTGGAAATGTGCCTAACAGGATTTTTTTTCTTTGCAGGTAAGGAGCCTTCATTTTTGGAGTAGTTCGCGACGATTCGATTTTCGATTCTATAGAGGTAAAGTTTTCAAGTTTAAATCAGATGGACACAATAGTATGCTATAGGTATTTTATTTTGTGGTTAAGACTGGTTAAGAACGTTGAAAACCAACTTTGTGACGTTGACGAAAAGACGTAAAGATGTACGTAATGTTAATTTGCGAGTACTCGTTTTATGTCGGTAATATCCTTATGTCGATATGATTAGGCGTAAGCTATAGTAATTTTTTGTTAATTTCAATCCCTAATTTAAAAAAAGGATTGGTAATTAGACGACGACGACGACGACTGTTCCTAGAATAAATCNATTTCATCATCATCATTTCAGCGATAGGACGACCACTGCTGAACATAGGCCTCTTACAATGACTTCCATAATGACCGGTTGGCAGCGGCCATTCATAGTAGCATACAGCGCGTTCCTACTACCTTTATGAGGTCGTCGGTCCACCGACCTCCAGAAGCCTCTCACCTCCACTCCAGAACCTTTTTTTTTATTTTTTATTTTATGGATAACAAGGCAGGTATTTGACCACAATCGCACCTGATGTTAACCTTACTGCCCCATCGGCCGTCAGTTCTGCGAACTATGTGCCATTTATGTGATTTACTCATCTGTCTCATGCATACTGAGTTGTTTTTATAAGCAACAGAGAAAGATATTCCCAATAATGCTGAAAAAAAGCCACAAACAAGATGAGAGGAAAGCCAACCACCTGGACGATGAATCTCCACAAGGACATGAAATTATTGGGACTACACGATCAAGACGTTTGAGATAAAATTAAATGGCGGCGCATGATTGGGAAAGCCGACCCCGCGTATCGGCATAAGGCGAGGCAGAAGAAGAAGGTATTTCCTAACCTAACCTCAAGGATGTTAGTTGCTTAGTTTGAGAATCAAACCCGGTATAATAGTTAGTTCTTACGACTGCACTCCTTCCATCACCGGGGAACCAGGCGCAGGTTAGCGTACCATCCCTACATTGTCGACATTCTACCAGCTCGCACAAAGCGTTTCTTTAACTCTTTTATAATGCGAACAGCTTAACATCAGGTGCGATTGCGGTCAAATACCTGCCTTGATCTGCATAAAAAACCATTGCTAAACTTTTTTTTATCATTTAGGTGGTAGGTATAAGCTATTTAGAAACTCAAAACACGTCAACAAATGCTATCCCCGAACCTTAACCTAACAATCACTTACGTACTAATAATAATAGCAAAATTACCGCTTATTACGACCAAAATATCCCCGTCGACTGTACTGCGTACAATAAAAACAGGAAGAATATTCGGGAAAAAGCCCACATGAGAGCAACATGGGCATATGTTAATGACGAAAAGGGATACACGCTACACCAAATGAGTAGTCATTTTTCCACCAATCGACGAATTATTGGAAAAACTACGCAAATGAATTTATTATGGCCGCCGCCGCCACCCCCGTAACAACATTATTTTATATTTTTAATGTACGGGCGTATTTAATGTAGTATATAGGATGCGGTATATAAGTAGTCTTTGCAGGTTTGTTTGCGCTTGATGTAGCTTTATTTGGAATGATGATGGATTAATTTGTTTTTGGGGTTTGTTTAACTTTTATTCAAACCTATACTTAGGTAGTACCTATTTTGGTTGTCCTGTGATAGGAAATTTTCGTAGAAACTATTTGAAGTCATACCTAATAATGTACTTTGGGAACACAGAAAGACCTATCATCTATACTGTATTTACGAGTTAGGTCACAGAACGAAAAATATTTTGTTAATTTGACAAAATAAAAGGCAAAATATTTAACGCAAACGAAGTCACAGGTCACAGCTAGTCATTGTATCTGATTAGTTCTTCGTAAAGCTTACTTAAGACCTTCATACTTCACTAATGAGGAACACGAGTTATAAGAATGTTTGGGTTAGATAATTAAAAGTATCCAGAAATTTGATAGCACCAAGATCATACAGTAAAAGTTGTTATCTGCTTCGAGTTTAGCATAGTTTAAGGGTTCAAAGAATCAAATTATGTATCATAGCCCCTTCCAAACACAAGGTAGATGAAAAAAATACTAAGACCTAACAAAAAGTGTTAAAGTTTGTGAGAAAAAATGTAGAGAGAGCTTTAGAGCTTGATAATACGTAGTCACCGACTGCCTGTGGCTCAGCAAGCTGTTAGGTTTAAGGGTGAAATAGGTACTTACCTTTTTGAATAAACCGACTGTAGAACGAAGCACCGAATAACCTGAAAGCAAAGAAAGATTTTATATTAGGAGGTTTTTTAAATAGTCATTTATGTATTATGAAGTCATATTGCTGACGAGCATAAGAATTTAAATACATAATCGAATAAATTCATAAAATGAATTTCTCAAAGACAAATATGTTTATTTGTAAAGAATAGGATAATTTTTGGTTAAAAGAAAACATTTATTTTGATTCCAACATAAAAAAAAAATATAAAACACTATTTGAAAAAGTAAAAGGAAGTTGGAAACCAAAAATGGCCACCGCTCAGCATGACGTGTCATGCTCTGAGCTTTTAAGTAGTAGTTAAGTTGGTTAAAGAGCACTTTTACAATATTATACAAGTAGGTATCTACCTATTGTGCAAGTTCTAATCATTTTATATTACGTAAGTACGTGTTTTTACTAAAATTGGGAGCCAAACTGGCCCAAATAAGCAAGTAGCATGCTGAAAATAATAGGTAATATTTTTATGTTGCCACGTAATTTTAGGTAAGTAGCTATGTAGTTTTTGCAGCAACATAACAATGCCCAAAACAGAGATGGCAAGAACATTCGCGACCTTACACTTATTTACCTGCAATTCTCAGACAATTCAAATATCCGAATGTAAGTTGGAACAGGTGGTTTTTCGCCTATTCTAATAGCACAAATAACAACATAAATGGAATACAGTAGGACCTATTCTGACACATTATTAGCTATAGACTAAAATAATACACGTGTAACCCACGACACGTGTCTAGTCTTAAAGTTTGTTTGTAACACTTTCATGGTCATAAGTCTTATTTATTTATGCAAGTAGGCTTTTAAGGCACTTTACACGTTCCAGTATTAACCCTACCACTGCTTCAGGATAATAAATGGGCCAGTGCTGAGAAGAAGCAGCGCAAGAAACTCAGTCACTATTGTCAGCCTCTTTTTCAAGGGTTTACAGACTATAACATACATGGTTATAAATATGTACGCTAGCTAGGCACTTTTAAGTACATATTGAAATTATTAATAGTTTTTTAAAAAGATTTAATCCGCGCCAATGGAGTTCTCGTAGATTTCAATATACTTGGCATTACTTCTCTTTGCAATCACAATTGACTTAACTTTTAGATCACTAGATGCACTTCTTCTTTCATTTATGGCAATAATGTGTTTCCACTTTTGTCAATATCTCGTGAGCATTACATATAGTGTAACTATGGTCTATTCATAGAAACATGGTCGTTTGTCCGAAGTAAAAATGATTTAGAAAGAGGTTTACAGTCTAGACTTGATCGTATAAGGAAAAATTTTAACCTAAAAATTGGTATAGGTACATACATGATTAATTGATTGATACTACACATACGTCTTTTACGTGTCTCATCTGAGGTTTATTAAGGGACTTGTAAAAAACGTATTTGATAAAAAAAATAATGGTAGAATTTGAAGGTTAATACTACTTGTTGTACCTGTCAGGCACTGAACCTGCTGTTATTTCCTATATTGTGTCCATACTAAACGCAATCTATTTGATCAAGTGTCGGTGACACACAGTCGAAACTAACGCATGAGAAGATTTAGAGAATATTATTAATGTAAAGTATGTTGCATATTTATCGGAACTAGGACATTGAAATAAATGGTTAGTTTTAGAACACGCTAAAATATACATGAATTAGGTAATTATGTTCCAACGATATGTTAGAACGTGATGCTATGAACTCTAAAATGTGTGAAATAAGAACAGGGTAATAATGGATAATATTGATAGGAACCATAATGTAACCTTTGCTTTCTTTTATTGTCAGCATGTCTGATGAATCGTAAAAAGAAGAGACTTACCCATAATGTGTATTTATTACATCAACGAATAATGAAATAACATACGCGTTTTTTTTGGATTATTTTGATCGATTATTATCGTGGCAGCGGGAGTTTCAATGTCAGATGGAACCTATCGTGTGCGATTCGCACTTTTCCTTTTTTATATTGTAGTTATTCACAAACTTATGAATTTAGCTAGGTATTCTAGACATTTAGAATATTGACGTATTGTTGATACTAAAATGGTACGTGCAAACATCGCAATTAACGTTTTAAATAAGGAAGCAATAATACAAGTATTCTTAAATAATCATGAAATTAAACTTGATCTTTGAAGTGTTTCGCGTTATGAAACATTTCTAGAAATTAATCAAAATATCCCGATCAATTTCCTCCGTGTTTCATTCCAATACCAGGAATTCATGATGGCATCTACCCCCCATAATCCCTGGAAAAAAATCTTCAATTATGCCCGAATTGGTACGAAAGATCATAATAAAAATTAATCCCATTCCGAATGTAAAGAAACATTTCAGATGGAAATAACATACGAAACCATGTGGAGACAATATGAAGACTGGGGCACGGTGGAAGTGGAATTTAAATATGTAAGGAATTAGGAGGGGGTGGGGCAGGGAGGCAAGAGGGAGAGGTTTTTGAAAACTAGAAAGAGATGAACATGGGTTAGTATCGCGATCTGCGAGAGGGCACGCGGGGCAGATTAGGATGACTTGTCGCGAGATATGTCATTAGAAAGTGGAAAATTACGAGGAATTTGTAGGAATCGGATGAAGAATTTGTAAAGCTGATTACATGCTTAATGTTATTGTCTCTATATTTTTCTGAAAGGCGATAAATTTATTAAATGGATAAGTAGTTTTTTTATGTGACAGGAGGCAAACGAGCAGACGGATCACCTGATGGTAAGTGATTACCGTCTCCCATAGACATAAAGTACCAAACTGTAACTAAACGTAGACTTAACCAGTTACTCTTGTCATCTATCATACCAGTTGGAAAAACCAACTGCAAACCTTATTATAATTTTGTAAAACGCTTGAAACTGCAATATGAAAAAAAAATTTGGTTTACGCTTAGAATATTTTATGTGCACAAGAGTTATAGGTATGTATATACGATGATATGTTACGTTTTAACACATCATCGAATCATTATCATCTGAGTTTGTTCCGGCGTTTCTTCTCAGCACTATGTTTGTCTCGAAGCGCTGGTAGGGCCCAAAAGATAAGGAGACATGTAAAGTATAAGGGCCCATAAGGGCTACCTTTTATTTGTTTTATTTTTTACTATATTTTGACGTTCATAAGTGCCACTTGTGGTCTAAACTGAATAAATATTTTGGATGTTGATTTTATTTTTGACTATCTATAAAAAGGGAATTGAAACTTCATAAAAAGGGAATTAAAACAACTTTAGTACACTACCTTTATTCGGTAATTTTTTTGTCCTAACCTTGCTTCAATTTTAAACAAATTAAGCAGCCCATCTCAAGACTTATCCTGTGACCCGTAGCCCTCGTGTGGCACACGCGAGCCGTAATGAGGCGCGGGCGCGGGGGGTAGTTAGACAATTTTACAACTGCGCCGCGCCGTTTTTTGGGAGACGCGTAGCTAGGTGTGTGACATAGATTAGATTGGACATGTTTTTACCTATAATGTACTGGAAATGGTAAAATTATATTGTAGTATTCAGTAAAGAGTGGTACTGAGAACCAGTAAACTTGGCTACTAAAGTAAATATTTGGTTTAGCGATGTAAATTGATAATTTTGGAATACTATTCAAAGTAGTTGCTCTATCATAGCTTGTTCTAGTGACTTGTCCTACTTAGGCTCAGTTGCACCACCTCATTTTAATCGTAACAATAACAAAAAGCACTGTATGTAGTTTGACAGATTTTTGACGTGTGTGAAAGTTGAAGTAAGATGGCGCAACTCAGCCTTATACTTTTTATTCTGATGATTTCTAGAATAGTACTCATATTTATTATACTGTGTTCATTCGTTCGTTCGTTTTAGCCAAAGGACGTCCACTGCTGAACAATAGCCTCCCCCAAGGATTTCCACAAAGATCGGTCTTGCGCTGCCCGCATCCAGGCACCTTCCGCGACCTTCACCAGATCGTCGGTCCACCTAGTGGGGTGCCTGCCCACACTACGTCTTCTGACCTGTGGTCGCCACTCGAGAACTTTTCTGAACTGTGTTCGTTCGTTCATTTGTTTCAGCCGATAGACGTCCACTGCTGGACAAAGGCCTCCCCCAAGGATTTCCACAAAGACCGGTCCTGCGTTTTTATTATAATATTCTTTTTTAAGTTTTCCGTCCATAAGTGTTTAAACAAGTACTTACAATAGGAACATAATATTTATCTTTTGTTCTACTAATTTGTTACTATAAACTAATCATTGCAGATAAATAGATAAGTATTTTACTCTATTCATGAAGGTACAAAACGAACTCCCAAACTACCTCGTACATTCTGTCTCCTAATCTTTGCCACCATCTGTAGGTGCGCACAAATTTGCATATGTCGAAATAATTTAGGGGGTAACTCCACACATCCATAGTCGCTAATGTGGCCCGGTATTGGCTTAGAACGAAAAGAGGCAGATGTGCCTTTCCGATTTATATTTGTGGAAATGTGCCTAACAGCAATTTTTTTCTTTGCAGGTAAGGAGCCTTCATTTTTGGAGTAGTTCGTGACGAATCGATTTTCGATTCTATAGAGGTAAAGTTTTCAAGTTTAAATAAGATAGACACAATAGTATGCTATAGGTATTTTATTTTGTGGTTAAGACTGGTTAAGAACGTTGAAAACCAACTTTGTGACGTTGACGAAAAGACTTAAAGATGTACGAACATTAATGTTCATTTGCGAATTTTATTTAAGTCGGTAATCTCCTTAAATCGATATGATTAGGCGTAAACTGTAGTTTTTTCTTGCTAATTTCAATCCCTTGTTTTAAAAAAAGGATTGGTGTTAGGTAATTAACGAGTGACCGTCGAAGATATAAACTACGGTTTCTTACAAACTAAAGAAAGATAACACTCACGTTGACGAAGATGAGTGACGTCACAATTGAGTAGGCAGAAACGTTGACCTATAAGGCGTTGTGCGAGTCTGTCTCCTCTTATATTACTCAAGATTTGAGGAAAATTTTCACTCATAATATTCCC